TCTCGTGAATTAATCTTCCTTTCTCCCTCCGCCTGACAGGTTTTTGATATCTGCTGTTCCAGGTACTCAGCTGGGAGCTAGACTCCTCTAGAGCTAGATTCCTGGCCTGGACCTGGTGCCCCTAGGGGCTCTCTGGGAGCCTCAGAGCCCCTGTTTTCTCTGGAGAGAGGGGACTGCTGTGAGGACTCATGGATGGAAAGTGCTGGCTTTTCTCTGAGCTCTGCTGCTGCCAGGATTCAGGAAATGTCTGTTCCTCCTCTGTGCTGGGCCCAGAGCCTTGGCTGGGGGTGAGCCTGAGTGCTCAGCAGGCAGCCCTGGATGCCAGCCTCCAGGGCCCAGTTGCCAGTGCTGTGTGTGACCTTGGTCACATTGGATTCTTGCTGCCTTGGTTTCCCCACCTGCTGGGCTGAAATTGGACTCCTTGCTGAGTCTGCCAGGGTTTTAATGAGACAGGGCTTGGCAGGCGCTTGGGCACCAGGCAAGGTTGTTTGTCACGGGTTCTTGAAGGGGCGGAGGGGCAGGCAGCCCGTGCCAGCACGGCGCCCACACTCCTTCTCTTACCAGCTCTGCCAGCTCAGGCCTAAGTGTGGCTGCTTTATTTTATTTTGTTTTATTTTTTTTGGTAAAGATTTTTATTGGGGAATTGGGGGGATGGGAACAATGCTGGGAAATCGGGGGAAAGGGAACAGACAAGTTGCTGTCCTTTTCTTCAGTCTAGTTGTGGAGGATGTTGCTTCACTGGCCCAAGTTGGCACCATCATTGCGCTCTTCCCGGGCGAGGCAGATCAGTCGCTGGCCTCTGAACGGCCGCTCACGGCAGCTGCTGGCCACTCACGCTGGCTGCCGGCTACACACATGGTAGCTTATGGCAGCCCACTGCAGCAGGGGACTGCAGCCTACGCTGTCGCCAGCGACTCACGGCAGCCCAGCCCCAGGTTGAGCTGCTGTTCACCATCTTAGCTGCAGAGGGCAGTGTCACTGGCCCTCATATGTGGGATCCGAACCGGGGCCCTCTGGCATCCCAAGCCAGCTCTTAACCAACGCGCCACTCGGCTGGCCCAAGTGTGGCTGCTTTAAAGGGACCCACCTCGGGGGATCCCAGGAGGGCTCTTGGCTGTGAACCTGAGGCAGTCACTAAGGAAGGCTTGGTACCCGGCCTCGAGGGATGAGCTGTGGCCAGCCTGGATTTAGCAGGCTCTGCAAGGCTCACACCAGCCACAAGAAAAATATCCGTCTGTGCTCAGGGCCCTCATTCCTAAAATAAAGACAAGGCTGTCTCGATGGTTCCTGCTGGTTTTGACATGCAACGATGCGGGACGGGGGTGGAAATTAAGAGAGTAAAGCAAATGAGAAAAATAAAAATGAGCTGCACACAGAGAGGACGCTTTGTGAGAATGTCTACAGCCTCATGTAAGCTCAGGATGGCAGGAGCTCTTTATAGGATGCTTGTTTTGTACAGCGCCACAAGCGTAAACAGGCCCAGGGCAGGAGAACACCCAGCAGCATCATGCTGTGAGGACACCGGCCTCCATGCTCGTTCGGGACCCATTATTCTGTCCCCCAGTGCTCCGGGCCCACCCATGCTCCCCACTCCAGCCATAGGACAGAGCTGGCCCCAAGCAACTTGCCTGCTGCCCTCATTTCCACCAGGAGGCGGCCAGAACGTCTGTATAAGTTGCCTGTGGGTCAGGTTTGGGAATTACAAGGTAAATGAGTAAAAAGGGAAGCCCGTGAGCTGGAAGCCCACAGGGGTGAGCTCTGGGCCCGAGCGGCGCTGTCTAGCTGAGGCGGGCATGCTGGAATCCTGCTGGCCAGCGTGCGAGCGGAGAAGGATCATAGCGACGCATATTGATTCAGCTTTTCTGAATGCCAGACAGCTTTCTTAATTTGTTACATCTATCCATCCATCTCATCTTCACAACAGCGAGGCTATCATCTCATTTTCCAGATGGGGAAACTGAGGCCCAGAGATGGTAAGAAGCATCTAGAAAGTAAAGAGGGCCAGGATTCCAGCCAAAGAAGTTTGTCTCCAGGGCCCAGCCCTTACCCACTTCTCTTCATTGTCCCCACTGATTGTCATGCTCCAGGTTGCCACAGCTGACACCAGGTGTCACCACCTTCTCAACTGTTGCCACAGGCAGAAGACAAGTGTTCCAATATTCCATTTCCAACTTTACTTCTGCCTGGGACCCCCAGGGAGCTCCCATATCCGCTGAGAAGGCCTCATGGCCACTTTGATTAACTTGTTCACTGCTGAGTGACCTGAGGCATAGGATTCAAATCCTTGGACCTTTTCTTCTCCGTTCTATACAGCATGAGGCCTAGGGGGCCCCTCAGTTCCTTTGCTGCTCCGACAGGCAACAATTCTTGGGAACTCCCATTCTTCCAGGGCTCCCAAGCACAAAATGGCAGATGCTACTGACGTGCCTGGTCACGCACACACACATGTGCACACGCACATGCACACATGCCATATAGACACACAATCTTGAACAGAGTCACAGACACTCTATGGACATTGGGCAGAGTTTCCAGGAGTCTCCTAGGTTTGTTGTATGTTGGTTATTTATTATTATTTTTTTGGTGTTAGGAATGATCAGGGAGCAGCAACGAGCAAATATTTAATAGTTGGGGGTCTCACACACTTGTACAGTTGTCACCAGGCTTTCACAGCCAGCATCGTGTGCAATGCACACACGTGTGTGTTCTAGCTCATAAGCCTTGTTCTACCCAGTCTAGACTGTCATATCTCTGAGACAAGGATGTTTTGGTGGCTCTCCTATATTGCCTGGCACAGTGCAGCCTGTTGCTGGCGATCGTTTGTATTTGTGCATTGATGGAGAAAGGAAAGACACTGGATGGTTTGTGCTGTGGGGATTTTTTGTTAGATGCCTCTGCCATCCCTGTGTTACCTTCAGTAGCTGTCACCCAGACCAAATGCCGCAACGTCCTATCTAAGCTGGTTCCTCACACTGTTGTCCCAGCCCACCTCCCAATATCTGCGAAGGGTGTACCCCACATCCCCTGCTTTTCTTGGGTCCCTACCCAGCCCCTTTTCCATCTCACACACAGAGCTTTGAATACACTCGATTTTCCTTTCCAACGAAGAGCTAGGTGTGGATGTTGGAGAGGGAAGGACTTGGAGCTGAAGGAACTAGGGCCCTAGGGGGCCCCATCCCCTCCTCATTTGGACTTTCCCTCCCCTGAGGTCCAACTGGGGCACCAAAAGTGACAGAACTGGAACTCAATCTTTGAGTCCTCAGGTGGGACGGGCCTACCTGAGGAAAATAAAATTTTCCAAGTCCTTCCACTCCCACGTCCACTGTCTCCTGTGCGTGGAGCTTCAGGCTTCAGAGGCTAGAATAGATGAGGACAAAAAAGCATGCTTCCTTTCAGTCTACCTCCTTGGGCTCAAGGAGCATGAGAGGGAAGGCAGTGTGGGGGCCTGCTGGTTTCTGGGTGACATGCCTTCAAGACTCGGGTTAGGCTGGAAATGACCAGTGGGAGCCTCCCAGCCCTGTCTGGCTTTGAGCCAGCTTTGCTTGACGGTGAGGGCTGAGGGCTCTGCTGTCGGAGCTGATGAGAGAGGCAAAGGGCTTCTCCAGTCACTGCACAGTGCAGTCTACACGGCTGCTGACCCCCTCTGTGGGGTAGGGGTGGGGGTAGCTCCAGGAAGGGCCCCAGGAACCTGAACTGATCTCCTGGAGAGGGGTGTGCTGAGGATGGCAGGAACCTCCAGTGCCACCCAGTGGCCTGCTGGGATGAGACGGCATCCCCTGAAGACAGGTTGGGAATTGCTCTTCCTAGTCACACGCATCTCATTTCAGGCCTAGGATGGAGACCTATGTCCCCAGGCTCGCAGACCATGACAGGAGCTTTTGCAGGTGTATTTCTGCTGGCCTTGCGGCTAGGGGGACAGGGCTACCGCTCTGCTCCACCCGGGTTCTGCCTTTGCTTCCCAGCCCCCAGGGTCGGTGCCAGAGAAAAGCCTCCTGCCATCGCCCTGTATCCCGCCGGCAACACAGCGACACCTGGTGGGCATTGGGTGCCATCACAAGGAGATCTCGGAAGCCCCTCATGGGTAGGGCCCTGGTTCCAGTATCCCACAGGGCATCTGGGCTGCTGTCTCAGTCCATTCCCCCAGAGGCTAAAATCCACCATTTTCCGCCAGCCCAGAGTCCTGGGTACTGGGGGCCACTGGAGACAAGAAGACGAGTCTCGGGAGGATTCAATGCCTCATCACACAAGGATTTTGGGGGACCTGGCCAGGTTGTAATATCATGGCACTTGGCTAGTAGGGTTGGAAGAGGCTTCCAGAAAGGCCTGGGAGGGACTGAGCCTGGCGTGAGCCCTCATCTCCATTGGCCCCCCCCCATGGCTGGGGGGTAGGTGGCGGGGAGCAGTTTGGGCACAAAGCAGATTCTGCTGCCCCCCTCAGGGCCGAATCGGAATCCATGCCAGGCCCTGAGCCAGGATGACAAGCTTCGAGGGGGACATGTAGGGTGAACACAATCCCCCTGGCATCACCACCCACTCGGAGGGCCTGTGTCTATGTGTTTTTAGAACCACAGAATGAACGGGAAGGGTTTGAGCAGCCTTGTCACCCACCTTTTATTTTCACGTTGTCCCTTAGGCAAGGTCACACAGATACTGAATGCACCTCCCTGGAGAGCCGCGGTGACAGGTCACTTCCTGTGGCCTGTGAGGAGCCAAGTGTTGGGAGAGGGCCAGAGAGCAGTTTCCAGGCTCTCGGCCTCACGTGGAAAGGTGCTGGCTCGGTTATGCAACCCACACATGCAAGCACTCATGTGACTAATTGGCCCTCAGCTGTGACCAGTTAGCCATTAGCCACTATTGTTTTGTATGTAACTGCCGTGGCTACGTTAGTATGCGTGCATGTTGTGGGTCTTGCGGATTCCGCTTCCTGTGTCTTGTCCGGCCGCCAGCGAGAATATAGTGGTGAACCCCCCATCCATGGCTCCGTTGTTGTTCCTTTTCAGCCTCACCGTATCCTGCGTTCACCTGCCGGGAGCTGAGCCCCAGCTTCACCCTTGGCATTGCACAGGGAACCCGAGTCCATGCCACAGCACAGTGTTGCCAGGTGCTAAATGCCAGGCTGAAAGGCCACCGCCTTCGTTCCTGCCGATTCTCACAGGTGATCCTGGGCCATCTTTCCCTTATCTCTTTCCTCAGCTTCTCAGAGCTGAGGAGTGCTGCGATGAGACTGCTGGGGTTGGAATCCAGTTTTACACTATTACTGTGTGACCTTGGCCCCTTAACCTCTCTGTGCCTCTGTTGCCTCATCTGTGTAATGGTTATCATGCGGCCTACGTCACAGGGTCGTTGTGAGGATTCAGTGAGCTAAGGCATGGAAAGTGCTTGGAACTGTGCCTGGTATGTGGTAACCGCTGAGAACGCTTCGCTAAGAATGGTTTCCCCACTCCCACAGAAGGGAGTACATGGGACCTCCCTGTGGAGGTCGAGGGGACCGTATCTTGATCATACAAAATACCATAGACTGAGTGGCTTAAACAACAGACATGTATTTTCTCACAGCTCTGAAAGCTGGAAGTCCCAGATCAGGATGCTAGCATGGTCGGGTTCCGGCGAGACCCCTCTTGCTGGTGTTCAGAGGCTGCCTTCTCCCTGTGTGCTCCCATGGCCTTGCCTCAGCGCCGCATGGGTGGAGAGAGAGTTCTCTCTTTTCCTCTTATGATGACACCAAGCCTATTGGTCAGGGCCCCACACACTTAGGACCTCAGGTGACCTGAAGCGCCTCCTAAAGGCCTTTCTCCAAATACAAGTCATATTGGTGGTTAGGGCTTCAACATATGAATTTGGGGAGGACAGAGTTCAGTCCATAGCAGAGTGGAACACTGCTCCAAGAACCCAGACGCTGTGGCCATACCAGCCAGTGACACGGAGACTCAGGCGCTTCTTGGCCCTGTGGCTGGGGCTGGCTTCCCAGTTAGCAGCTGAAGTCAGTGGGAAGGACAATTCCGACCTGCCAGGCATCAGCCTGGCCTGGTGTACTTTTCTAAGCCCCCGGTCCCTACAGTCCCAGTGCCAGGGGATGCAGACCTCCCATGATGGGGGCAAGTATTGAGTGCAGAACCCATGCTGACGCGTACTACACCCTGAGAACCCTGCTTCCCAACTGTGGGGAGAGCTTGCTGTAGGATGTGCATAACAGATGCCACTTGCCTGTTTCCCCGGGGTGCCATGTGGCTGGGGGCAAGGATTTCCTTTTTCAAGCCTGCTATCAAATTTGAGCTTGGAAAATGTGCACGGTGGCACGCACTGGTTAGGTTAGGTTAGCGTTCCCATGCACAGGCTGAAGCTGACACTGTCAAAGCACATGGCAGGAGAGGTGTGCCTGGGTTCTATCTAGGGTCTGCTGGCTCAGGATGGAGGTACAAGTTGGCAGATTCTACCTCGCCATAGGTCAACATCCCTCTCACAGCCATATTGCTGAAGGGCTGTGTTAGTTTTAGTTGTAAGTTACAGAAACCCAAATCAAACGAGCTGAAACAAAAAGGGATTTATTAACCCACAATGAGGGAGCAGTTTCAGGCACAGTTTGATCCAGGGGTTTAAACAATATCATGAGGGCTTTATCTCCTTCTTGGGCTCTCTGCTTTGTCTTACTCTGTATACTGGCTTTCTCTAGATGGGCTTTCTTCCTGTGTCAGGAAGATGACAGCTGGTAGCCTTAGGCTCACGTCTTTCCGGCCTAATAAGTCCCTGGATACATCGCCTCTGTCTTTTCTATCTGAGGATCTTAAGGAAGAGTCTAACCTGGCATGCTCAGGACCATGTCCAGTAATGAACCAATCAACATAGGGAGGCTCCTCTGCCTGGGCGGCCTGGAACACTTGCCTGCCCCTACGTTCTTGGAAGGGGGTAGGATACCATGATTGAGAGCTGCATTAGTACCACCTGGAGTGGGAGAGCTCTGTAGGGAACCTAGAGGAAGGAGGAGGGGGGAGTGCGTTGGGTGTGCAAAGTCATGGCTGCCACACGCTTCTCAGAAGAGCTTACCCGGGAGGACTTTCATCTTCAAATCGGAATGTCCATACAGGAATGTTAAAACTTATCCAGTCCACCCCAACTCACTTGACAAAGAGAGAGAGGAGGCCAAGGTAAGTGCCTTGCTCAAAGTCATCCTCTATTCTCCTGCAGAGGCATGACATCATTCCTGGCTCTGTCTCTAATTATTCCAGTGAAAAGCCAAGTGCAGTGGCCAAAGGGCTGTCTGAGAATCTCCTCCTCCTCCAGAGAGGTCAGTGGAGAGCCAGGAGGTGAGAAG